CTGTTACTGTGTACAATGTTCTCTTGGTTCTGCTAATTTCACTTTGTATCAGTTCACATAAGTCTAGGTTTTTCTGAGAGCATCCTGCTCATTGTTTCTTATGGTACGATAGTATTCCATCACAAACATGTTTAGCCATTCCCCAGTTGATGGTCATTCCCTCAGTTTCTAATTCTTTGCCACCAATAAAAGAGCTGCTATAAATACTTTTGTTATGTATAGGTTCTTTTCACTTTTTTTTTATCTCTTTGGGATACTGACCTAGTAATGTTATTGCTGGGTCAAAGGGTATACATGGTTTTATAGCCCTTTGGGCATAGTTCCAAATTGCTCTCCAGAATGATTGAATCAGTTTATAATTCCACCAAAAGTGCATTGGTATCTTAATTTTCCCACATCTACTTTAACATTTGTCATTTTCCTTTTCTGTTTTATTAGCCGATTTTATAGGTATGGGGTGTTACCTCAGAGTTGTTTTAATCGGCACTTCTCTAATCAATAGATTTAGAGCACTTTTTCATATAACTATAGATAGCTTTGATTACTTCATCTAAAAACTGCTTGTTCATATCCTTTGACCATTTATCAATTGAGGAATGGCTCTTATTTTCATAAATTTATCTCAGTTCTCTCTGTTGAGAAATGAGGCCTTTATCAGAGAAAGGTTGTAAATCTTTTTTTTCACAGCTATGATTACTGCGCATTTCCCTATACCCTATTTTTAACCCTGTTTATCCTTCTCTCTCTCTCTCTCTCTCTCTCTCTCTCTCTCTCTCTCTCTCTCTCTCTGTCTCTCTCTCTCTCTCTCTCTCTTTTCACCCTATTCATCCTCAGAAATGTTTTGCTTCTGACTACCACAAGCCACTTGCTTCACTCCAAAGGATTTAGGGTGACCCTTGAAAAATATAGAGGAAAACATCCTTTGTATGTAGAGAAAATTCTTTGGCTTGCTGAAAGTTATGCAGGCTTGGACTGCCACCTCCCCCATTTCTCCCTCTCTTGTATCAGCACTCTCCCCTTTTCTTATCTCCTTCCCCTCCAACTTTCCTATAGGGTTAGATAGATTTCTATACCCTACTGAGTGTGTATGTTATTTCCTCTTAGAGCCAATTCCAATAAGATTAAGGTTTAAGCACTCCCCCCCCCATCTTCCCCTCCACAGCAAAGGAAAGCTCTTTCACACCTCTTTTATGTTGATGAGATTCAAATAGGCTGGTCAATGAGAAGCCATTATCTCAAGTACCACTTAAAGCCACTTTAGGAGATAATGAGATTCAAGTAGGTTGGACAATGAAATAACAAAACTAATGAAGCCCCCTCCTCCCTGGGCAAAAAGACTGAACAATAGAATAAAGATGTGCCTAAATATGTTGGAAACTTGGAATTACCCCAGACCTCTTGCCTAGTGTGCCGTTACCTCCCCTTCCAATCCTTGATTACCTTACCTTTCTGTCCCTGATTACCTCATCTCCCTGGATCATGGCAGATTTTCCTCTATAAGAATCCCTAGCTTCTCCTGGCTGGGGAAATTAGGCGGGCAATCTCTCTTAAGGAGCTGCTGTCTCCCCTAAGGAGCTTCCACTGCTGGCTTAAGCTGGGGTATCCCTTAAGTTCTTAGGAGTTACAAAGGAATATAAATTTTGATCACTTCAACCTCACAAGACATCTTGGGGTTTGGGAGCTAGATTTTTTTTCTCTTCCCTACTTATTTATTCTATCATTTTTTTTTAAACTGGGACAATTAACTCTTCTGTCCCACGTAGTTTCATTTATGATTTCTTGAAATACAGCTCTGGAAAACCAGGCTTTGATAAAGCCCATTGGGATTCAAATGGAGCTATTTGACTCAGTCTCTAAACCCAAATCACTCTGGCTCTCACTGATTAGCCAATAATAGGTCCCAGCCCAAGCCCCATTTGGTCTTGTTTTGGATTTTGATGGTTCAGAGTGAGTGTAAATAGCAATTGTTTTTATTCTGGCTAGAAACTCTGAGGGTGTTCCCCTCTCAGACTGATTTTTTTTTTCTGAGTGGGCAAACAAGACCATCTTTTACTTTAATTCTTGCCTAACCTTTAATTACTTAATGGATGTTACCACAGACAAATTGAGCCCTGGGAAAGACCTTGGCTTAAAAAAGGTTAAGGTCTCCCACTACATCCTGGGCCATTTCCAGTCATTCTGACCTGTGTCTTGCCAGTGGACTCAGATGACTCTGGAGGAGAGAGTGAGGCTGATGATTTTGCACAAGTCTGCCTCACTTAAGTCCAACACACTTGCAAATCAAGACATCACCCTCCTGATGTCATTGGTCCTCCTAGAGAATGAAAAACAAACAATAACAACAATCATCTTCCCATGTAGAAAACTGAACAGTTTAATCTTATTGAATCTCTTATGATTTCTCTTTCCTGTTTAGCTTTTTATGCTTCTTTTGAGTCGTATTTGAAAGTCAAATTTTCTACTCAGCTCTGGTCTTTTGATTAGGAATGCTTGAAAGTCCGCTATTTCATTGAATATTTTTTCTCCTGAAGGATTATACTCAGTTTTGCTGGGTAGGTGATTCTCGGTTGTAATCCTAGCTCCTTTGCTCTCTGGAATATCATATTCCAAGCCTTGCAATGCTTTAATACAAAAGCTGTTAATTCTTGTGTTATCCAGACTATGGCTCCATGATACTTGAATTGTTTCTTTCTGGCTACTTGCAATATTTTCTCCTTGACCTGGTAGCTCTGGAATTTGGCTATAATATTCCTGGGAGTTTTCATTTAGGGATCTCTCTCAGGAAGTGATCAGTGGTTTCTTTCAATTTCTAGTTTACCGTTTGGTTTTAGAATATCAGGACAGTTTCCCCTGACAAGACCCTTTTTTGGATTACGATTTTCAGATTACCTTTCAGGGATCTATTTTCCAAGTTGATTGCTTTTCCAATGAGATATTTCACATTTTCTTCTATTTTTTTTTCATTCTTTCAATTGTGTTTTATTGCTTCTTGATGTCTCATTGAGTCAACAGCTTCCAATTGCCCAATTCTAATTTTTAAGGAATTATTTTCTTCAGTGAGTTTTTGTACCTCCTTTTCCATTTGGCCAACTCTACTTTTTTAGAAGTTCTTTTGGGGCAGCTAGGTAGCTCAGTGGATAGAGCACCAGCTCTGGATTCAGGAGGACCTGAGTTCAAATCTGACCTCAGACACATAACACTTACTAGCTGTGTGACCCTGGGCAAGTCACTTAACCCCATTGCCTACCCCAAAAAAAAAGTTCTTTTCTTCAGTGAATTTTTGTACATTTTTTCCTATGTGGCCAATTTTATTTTATTTTTTAAAGAGTTCTTCTCTTTGACAAATTTTTGTATATCTTTTTCCAATTGGCCAATTCTGTTTTTTGAGGAGTTTTTCTCTTCAGTAGATTTTTGTATGCCTCTTTTACCATTTGGCCTATTCTGTTTTTTAAGCTGTTATTTTCTTCATTATTTTTGTGTGTTTCCTTTATCGAGCTTTTGATTCAATTTTCATGATTTTCTTGCATCACTGTAATTTCTTTCCCCAATTTTTCCTCTATCTCTCTTATCCAGTTTTTTTTTTCCAGCCAAAGACAAGGTTTATTAGAACATCCATCATATTGGACAGACTCTTAAAGAGTCTGAGCATTAGTGAGCTGTTGGCTAGATTATAAGAATCTAAGCCTCTTATTTGATTTTTAAAGTCCTTTTTGAACTCTTCCAGGAATTCTTTTTGTGCCTGAGACAAATTTGCATTTTTTTTGAGGTTTTGCATGTAGCAATTTTGACTTTTTTGTCTTCTACTAAATTTGTGTTTTGTTCTTCCCTGTCACCATAGTAACTTTCTATAGTCAGATCCTTTTTTTGTTGTTTGCTTACTTTTCCAGCCTATCTTGACTTCAAACTTTGTTAAAGTTAGGCCCTGTTCTCTGGGTGAAGGGGCCACCGTCTCTAGTGTCAGGTTTTTAAGCAGCTCTTTTTAAAGCTAGTTCCAGAGGTCTGCGCATTTTGAGTTCTTTCAAGGTAGTATGATCTAAAGAGAGGTATATTTACTACTCTCCTGACCTGTGTTCTGGTCTGTGAATTACCACAAGCACTATTTTCTACCCTGGAACTGTGACCAAGGTTCCTGCTCCTCTTTGGATGTAAGTTTTGGTGTGCTAGTGCTCCTCCTTGCCCTGGGATTGCAATCTACCCATGACTGCGACCTAGATCCATGTATAGGCAATGCAACAGAGGCTGCATACAGTGCCAGGAAAGGGACCCCTGTGATCTTTAGACCAGTTGTTTAACCCCTTACCATCTGTGGGCTGAGAGCTCTGGAAGCCACAGCTATTGCCACTGATTCAGTCACCCCCCAAGGTCTGCTGTGGTTTGCTGGGGAATGACCTGCATTCCACTCTCACTGGAGTGCAACAGACCTTTCCTGCTGATCTAAGCTGTCTTGGTCTAGAAAATTGTGCCACTCATCTTTTTGTGGGTTCTGCTGCTCCAGAATTCATTTTGAGGCTTTATTTTAAGTTGTTGGGAGAGGAATTTGGGAGAGCTCAAGTGAGTCCCTGCCTTTTCTCCACCATCTGGGCTCTGCACCTTAAAATATCTTTCTATCAAACTTTTTCTTATAAGAGTTTGGTATCCAAAATATATAAACAATTAATAAAAATATATGACTAATAGCTATTCCTGAAGAGATAAATTGCCAAAGGATGTTAACAAATAATTCTCAAAAAGAATAGCAAAGTATTTATGACTATATTTTAAAAAGGCTCTAAATCACTAATAATGACAGAAAATACAAATAAAAACAACTCTAAGGTTTCATATCATACCCTGCAAACGGGCAAAAATGACAAAAATGGCAACAGTCAATGTTGCCATTGTTGGAGGGGTTATAAGAAGACAAGCACACTAATACATTGTTGGTAGAGCTGTGAAATGGTACAATTTTGAAAAGCTTTATGGAATTATGGAAGTAAAATGATAAAATATCCATACACTTGCCTGAACCAGAGATTCCATTACTTGATTTCTCCGCCAACATTCCTGTATACTCCAAAATGTTTTGACTTCAAAATAAGAAAAAGATGACTTAAAATTTTCTTTAGAATTATTAATGCAATTTTATATGTAAAATCTTTAATCCAATTTTCAGAACTTATTACTAAAGCATACTCAAAACCTGTATTTCCCATTGGAAACATTTAGAAGTAAATGGTTTATATATTTCCTGGTCCTTAGATTTCTAACAGTCTAATCTTACTGCTTTCTCAAAATTTATTACTCCATTAAATTAAAAAAAACACTTTTACATCTTTATCCTATCCTTCTCTTTTGGGGATACATCTATTAATCTATCTACACATACACACACACACACACACATACAATCCTGAAAGAATAAGATACTTTAAGGACCTAATCTTATACATGAATATGTATCTATTAGCAAGGGATTGTCAAGTCAAAAAACTAATTTACTTAGTTGCTTAGGCTATTGAGCTAATTATAAATTCAGATTACAAAGTAAGATTTTTCACATTTGTATCCTATTATAGTAACTCAGATGTTTTAGTGTTAATCTATTAATTGATTTAGTAATTCAACAACAAAATGTCCACTGTTTATTCTCCCTGATCATAGAAATTTGCTATGAAAGGAAAAAGGAGGGATATAGTTATGATAATATCAAGATTGTTCCTTCAAGGGCATAGATTGAACTGACATAAGCCATAACAGGGGAAAAATTCCCTTAGCTCCTTTTGATTCTAGGTAAGAGTCATAGTTAATACTCAATCATAAAGCAAAGTTTCACATTATTCACAGGCTATAATAGCCAGGCTCATCATTTTCCAGATGGGAAAATTTCCTGTTTAGAAAGGAAATAGCACAATTGGGAAATTGAGTCAAGAGGATCCTGTCTTTGTCCACATAAGTTCATCCTCTTAACTTTTCCCAAGCACAGATACCCACCCGTAGCAGTTCTTAGAGCACACTCCCTTTGGGTAGCATATGGCATTCCTCTTGAATGGTGCACTATTGACTTAATGACAATTTGGGCCATCATACCTGAAATAAAAACTCAGAATATCAAAATACAGTCTCATGAAATTTTACCTCAAATAGTAAAAATTCACCAATCACAGCTTAGGGCTAGGTTATTATTTTTCTCATGTTTCAATAACAGTTAACAAGCACATCTTATTTATCCTTCAATTATAAATGAAGAATAATCACATTCTAGAGGTTTATGCATACAGTGCATACATGATAATTCACTCAAAAACTCTAGGAAAATACTGACTGTAGAAAGTCTCCAAATTAACATATCCATATGCTAAGATCTATTGATTCAAAGACATAATTTCAGTATGCACTGTTATTAACAGATACAATTTCTTAATTTTCATAAGTGATGGTCAAATTATCTCAGATGAAACTCATTCTTTACTATAAGCAAACTCATAAGTTTCCCCACTTTGACTGGGAGTGGTCCTAGTTTCTCAAACTTCAGTACTTCAGAATTTTATAATATGATGTTAGCAGGGCTGATAACATCTTAAAACCTTGCCCAAATAGAAAGTTCCAAGGAGCCTCATAGATAAGGGTAATTAAAGAGGTCTTTGCTACTTTTCTCCCAATAGTAAGTTACTATTACTATCCATTTTAAAGCAAAATGTACCCCATTAATATTTAACAGTTTTCAAGCATTTTGATCACATTCTTTTAATAACTCAATTTGTAATCTAACAACATCCAAATTAAAAAGAGGCTATTTTTCTAATTGCATTTCTGATACAATGGCTTCTCAAATTTCACAAAACAAGAAAAATTATATATTTATGGATTTTAAAAACACAACACAAAACTATTTGCCGGTCAAGTAATATTAATTTGTTTGAATACATTTCTGAATCCTCACATGAAAAAAATCACCATCTATCAATTTGACATTCTATACCAATCACATGCAAAACCCAATAAAAAGTAATTACATTTTTTCATATTTTATTGATTTATTTTGATTTATCAACAATCACTTTCATATGCTTTTGTGTTGAAAATTTTTCTCCCCCTTCCTCCCCACCGCCCTCCCCAAGATGGCACACAATCTGATATAGGCTATACATTTACATTTGTATTAAATATATTTTCACATTAGTGAAGTTGTAAGTAAAAATTAAAACCAATAGGAGGAACCATCAGAAAGAGGAAACAAAACTCAACAGAAGAGAAAAAAAAGATAGTGATTCAACTTTCACAGTTATGATTACTATCTGTGTCTTTTTCTCCATCCTTTTCCCCCTGTTTATGCTTTTCTTTCTCCTCTCTCCCTTCCCCCTCACCAGTACTTTGCTTTTGACCACCTCCTCCTTCAGTCTCTCCTCCCTTCTATTATCCCCCCCCTTCTTCCCCTTCACTCCCACCCTTCTTCCCTCTCTTCCATCCGCCCTCCCTTTTCTTTCCCCTTTTCCCTCCTACTGCCCATAGGGCAAGTTAGATTTCCATACCTAACTGATTATGTTATTCCCTTCTTGAGCCAAATCTGATGAGAGCAAGGTTCAAACAATGCTCACCCCCTCCCTTCTTTCCCTCTGCTGTAATAGGATTTTCTGTCTTTTCCTGTAATGTAATTTACCCTTGTCTGCCTCCTCCTTTCTCAGTACATTTTCTAAGATCAGACTAATCCACTTACTTGGATCCATTTAACCCACTTGATTAGATTTTTTTTTCATTACATCAAAGTCAACTAATATCCACCCCTTTATGTATACTCCTTTAACATGGTGTAATAACAATACAGTTCTCAAGAGTTGCAAGTGTCATCTTCCCTTGTAGGGATGTAAACAGCCTGTCCTTATTAACAACATTTTGTCTTTCTGTCCCATTTACCTTTTTATGTCTTTCTTGAATCTTGTACTTGAAGATCAAATTTTTTGTTGAGCTCTGGTCTTTTTATCAGGAAGGTTTGGAAGTCTCCTAATTTGTTGAATATCCATCTCCTCCCTTGAAAAATCATGCTCATTTTTGCAGGGTAGTTGATCCTTGGCTGCAATCCAAGCTCCTTTGCCTTATGGAATATCATGTTCCATGCCCTGCGGTCTTTTAATGTAGAAGCTGCAAGGTCCTGTGTAATCCTGACTGTGGTTCCATGATATTTAAATTGTTTCTTTCTGGCTGCTTGCAGCACCTTCTCTTTCATCTGGTAATTTTGGAATTTTGCTGTTATATTCCTTGGCGTTGTCAATTTGGGATCTCTTTCAGGTGGTGATCAGTGATGTTATTTTCCTTCTGGTTCTAGGACTTCTGGGCAGTTTTCCTTTATGATTTCCTGAAAGATACTGTCCAGGCTCTTTTTTTCATCATGATTTTCAGGTAGTCCAATGATTTTTAAATTGTCTCTCCTGGATCAGTTTTCCAGGTCGGTTGTTTTACCGATGAGGTATTTTATGTTTTCATCTATTTTTTCATTTTTTTGTTTCTGTTTGACTGATTCTTGCTCTCTCATAGAGAAATTAGTTTCCATTTGTCCAATTCTAGTTTTTAACAGATTGTTTTCTTCTGTTAGTTTTTGTACTTCCTTCTTCAATTGGCCAATTGTTTTTTAGGGACTTGTTTTCTTCAGTGTATTTTTTTTCCAATTGGCCAATTGTATTTTTTAAGGACTCTTCTACCTCTCTCATTTGACTTTAAAATCCTTCTTGAGCTCTTCTAAGAAGGCTTTTTGGGCTTCAGACCAGTTCATATTCCCTTTTGATGTTGCAGATGTGGGTTTGTTGACAATGTTGTCCTCTTCAGAATTTCTGTCTTGATCTTCACTCTTCTCATAATATGAATCTATGGTATGTTTCTTTTTACTCATGGTGTTTCTTTATTCCCTGGCCTTTAAAGAGATTGAGCTCTCCTGCTGGGGAACAGAGGGCACTGACCCAAGCTTCTTGTGTTGGGAGCCTAGGTCTTGGTCACTGGCTTTGTGTGCTGGGGCCTCTTATGTTGGCAATTGGAGGCTGTAGGTTTCTGGCAGCTTACCTCGTGTTGGGCTGGAATCAGCAAGGCTGGAACTTTCAGGCAATTCTAGGTTGCCTGCTTTTCCTTTCCTTTAGCTTTCTTCAGCTCCTTTTAGATGGGTGCTGCAGGGTGTTTATCTGCCTGGGGCCCCTTGCAGTGCTGTCTCCCTCATTTCTGCTAATGCACTGGGAGATTCCTTTGCAGTAGAGTGCTGAGGCACCTGGTGGTTTTCTGAGCTGGTTTCCACCGGTTCCCCCCTCACTGAGGCACTCAGAGGTCCAGGTGTTGGTGTTTGCCTGCTCTACCACCTGGGCTTCAGGATCTCTTCCTGGTTGACAGTTGGAGGTTCTGACAGCTTACCTGGTGTTGGGCTGGAATCAGCAAGGCTGACTTTAGGAGGACTTTAGGTTGCTTTCTTCAGCTCCTTTCAGATGAATGCTGCAGGGTACTTTTCGGCCTGGGGCCTTTTGTAGTGCTGCTTCCCTTATTTTTGCTGAGGCACTGGGAGACCCGTTTGCTGGGCTGCTGCACTGCTGCTCCCTGTCTTTCTTCTAGTTCAGCTGTTCCAGGGTTTTTTTTCTGGGGTGATATTTTCTGGGTTTTCAGAGGTTGATAGGGGAGAGTGAGAGCGACTACCTTTTTACTCCGCCATCTTGGCTCCCTTGAATGATCTTTAGAGTAATTACATTTAACAAAAATATCAATAGCTAATATTTATGTAGTGCTTACCATGTGCCAGGCACTGTGCTAAGCACTTTAAAATTATTATGTCATTTGATCCTCACAACAATCCTGGGAGGTGAGTACTATTATTATTCCATTTACAGATGAAGAAACTTTGGTAAACTGAGGTGAAGTGACTTGTTTAAGGTCACACAATAAATGTCTTTTTTTCTTGATAGTTAATTTATTTTTAGTTTTCAACAGTTAATTCCATAAGATTTTGAGTTCTAAATTTCTCCCCCTACCACTCCTCTCCCTTCCCCCCCAAGATGGCATGCAATCTGATATAGGCTCTACTTATACATTCATATTAAGCATATTTTCCCACTAGTCATGATGTAAAGTGCAATTAGAACCACTGGGAGGAATCATGAGAATGAAGCATTAAAACAAAGTAATAAAGGAAAAGGGGAGCAAAGAGTATGCTTCCATATGCGTTCAGACTCCATAGTTCTTTCTCTGGATGTGGATAGCAATTTCCATCATGGGTCTTTTGGAGTTGTCTTAGACTCTTGCATTGCTGTGAAGAGTTAAGTCTATCAAAATTAGTCATCCCACAATGTGGCTGTTACTGTATACAATGTTCTCTGGTTCTGCTCATTTCACTCTGTATCAGTTCATGTAAGTCTTTTCAGGTATTTTTGAAGTCTGCCTGCTCATGATTTCTTATAGCACAATAGTATTCCATTACATTCCTATACCACAACGTGTTCAGCCATTCCCCAATTGATGGGCATCCCCTCAATTTCCAGTTCTTTGCCATCACAAAAAGAGCTGCTAGAAACACTTTGTACATGTGGGTCCTTTTCTCATTTTATGATCTCTTTGGGATACAGATCTAGAAGTGGTATTGCTGGGTCAAATTAATAAATTTCTGAGACCAAATTTGAACCTAGGTTTTCCATTCATTTTCTTTTTTTTTTCCTCATGAATACTTCAATGAACTACATACATTTTTTGCAAAATGGAATTCCTCATTCAGAGCCCAAAAATGTAGGGAGACTCTAAAAATGTAACAGAAGCACTTCCACATACTGGTTTCAGTAGTCTAGTTTGTGCAGAAATGTTTCCACTAGATTCTTAGAATGTGATTTAGATGAAGACTTTTCATTTGGTCAACTGTTTGACAGTCTGCAGCTCTTCAACAAGCTCCCACTTTTGGTTAATTGTGAAAAGCTTTTGAGGCTCATAGGGATTCATATTTTCTCATGGTTCTGGATTTTTCTGTCTGTTATAACAATCACATAAGTTTTGAAAAGGGAATATATGAACATATAAGCTGCTCCAATTCCAGCAAAACTCACAAATGTGATCAAAGGAATAAGTTCTTTCTTTTTCATCATGAATTGTAAGAAGTTCATAATTGAGACTTTTAGGGTGGAGGTCAGCGAGGACAACCAGGTATTTGAGTGACTGTTGCTAAAGCTGAGAACTGTATCCATAAATTTTCCCAGTATATTGCCTTAATGCCAAATAGCAAATGCATTTTGTATTGAGTTCTGATTTACCACAATTACCTAGTAGGAGAACACATCTCATTGTAAATGAGATCACAATATAATTTAGTTTCAGAACAAACTTCAACTAAATCAAATCAAATCTGGATGTAAAATCACAAATGATAATATTCAAAATCTCAATGGAATCAAATTCTTCTCAAACTTCTTTCCAAAACTTCAAACCCTTTATTTTCAAACCCTCTCGTCATACTCTTAGTGAAAAAAGACCAAGGTCTCCCAGTGCATTTGGAGTTACCTCCAGATGTCCTGATCTATATATTGCTACTGGACCCAGAGGGCTCCAGAGGAGAAAGTAAGACTGGTGACTTTGCACAGCCCTCCCCCATTTAAATCCAATTTACGTGCATATCATGGCATCATCTCGCTGATGTCATGGTCCCTTTTGAGAATGAAGGACAAGCAACAACAGTGAAAACAGACTCCAACTTTCTTTAACTTTCTATCAATTCTCCTCCTGTATCTACTTAAACCTTCTCTCTTTCAAATTTTTTCTGTTCAGTGGATTTTGATCAAAGCCTACCAACTTTAAAAATAACTTTTCATTTTATACTCTGATTCCTCACTTTTATTTACCTTTGCTACTTTCTTAAGTTCATCCCATTATTTCTTAATCATATTCTAGTCTAAAATTCTACTGAATCTCTCCTGTACAGATTTACTTATACAAATAAGAATTCGTGCTAAACTTTTACTTCTCAAGTTGCATAGTGAGAAAATTAAATTGATTCTGTACAACTTTTATTGGTTCCATTTATACTTAATTGATTTTGTCTTGTAACTGCCTAAGCTTTGGTTCTTTCTCTCTGAACTTAATGCAGAAGTTCAGCTAACTCATTTGAGTTAAGTTTAGAAATCCAGTTCTCCTACTAATGGATGTTCTATTCTTGCCTCAAGGAAATCTGCTATTCTTGAGGGATGTGAGTAGACACCAGGGAGTGTGGTCCACTATCTTTATACCACCAAGTTATCTTTCAAGGATGTCTGGTTTGATACCCAAAGAAGTCTGGTCTACTATCTCTAACCTTGTAGGTGGACTCAAACAGTGAACTTTTCTTAGTCACAAAAGTGAAGGAAGGGGTTGTTGCTAGCCCTTCATTCCCCATTTCCAACCAATCATATTGTTCTCCACACCTCAGCTATGTAACCAATCATGTTGTTCTCATCCCCATGATGCTGCAAAACCATGTAACCAACTGTATTATTTCCTCACCTATCTTGTTCTGTTCTTTGTTCTATGCTTATAAAGAGGAGCTGCATCTCACTTGATCTAGTGGGTCTTTGGTTCAACTGAAGCAGACACTAACCCATTGTATTATTAGGTCTGTGCCTTGTTAATAAAACGTTATATTACTCAGAAAAAGTGTGCCTTAGTCTACCTTTGTTGAATCTCACTCATGACAATAGTTTATTTCAATTTAGGGTGACTTTGCTACTAGTTTACCTAAACAATTAAATTCTGTTGAATCATGTCAAACCAGGTTCAGTTCTACTTATTCTCTAGTGGGTGAAATCAACTTCTTCTAGAACAAAATATCTATCTCCCTCCAAGAAGATGGGAGAGGTGTATGCTGTTTGTGCTTAATCTTTATCCTAGTTGCAAACCTCAAAATCCACAAAGATGTTACCATAATTTGGAAATTTACAGGAAAGAGATTACATTTCAGTTATAAATTTAGTCTGTAACTGGTTTATAATGCCACAAATTTCTACAAGCCAGAAAACATTTCCTTCCTTTTCTTGTCTGTCTTTATCTCTGCAATCTCCAACCTTGCCAGAGTTTTGAAGATGGAGAGAAAGAAAGAATTTCAAAGTTTCCCTTCTTATCGCTCACTGAAAGTTGAATTAAAAAGTCAATGAGAGTAAGTCCCTGATTAATATTATCAATAGTTGGAAGAGCTATCTTGAGATTCCACCCTTTTATACTCCACTTTGGTGTTGTCTCACTGCAGTTTATTATGGGTGATGAGGCATTTCCCCTCAAAGTTCTCCAAGGTAAAAAGACCTTAATTATGCTAGAGAACTTCTGTAGTGGAAACCCCATCAAGCCTACCTCACTACCTGCATCATGCCCTTTCTGGGGCCTACCAAAATCTTTACTTCCTTTTCTGATTTTTCCCTACTAAAGTAGTTTCTTAAGAGTGCCATGATCTTCCCCTCTTCCCTTCTTCCCCCCCCCATTATGCCTCTGTCAAGGCCCTCTTAGAACTCTATTCTGAGACATTCCCTTTACTACTAGGAGTTTTCCCTGATCCCAAGGGACTCTTCCAGCTTACTAGATGTGGTTCCCATTATGCTTCAGTTGAGGCCCTCTTATCTTCTTTGAGGTTGCAGTCTGGATGAAGTTTGGGAGGACATGGAGATCTAAGATGGGTGATCCTTCCTGAGAAAGCCCCTTGGTGTAAGATTTCTACTGGAGCCTCTAGGATGTTCCCTCGTTGGAGGTCGATCATCACATGGAGACTCATGGCCTCCTCCTGGATGGCTCACCAGAACTGTTAGCGAAAATAAAGACACCAAGTTACATTCAGACCATGATTTATTTAACAAGGCATGTGGTTGCAGAAACAAATGGGGTTCAAGGCTCTCGGTCAGTGCAAGGACCTGGAGGCTCATGGCTCTTTGGCTTCTACACAATTTTTACATAGTATAAAAGGGGAACAGGAATGCATCAACCAAGCCATGATTAAATCAGGGCATGTGCTGATGTCTCCTGAGTCGGGGGCTTTACAGAAAGCATTTGGAGGACACGAAACTCAAAAATATCAGTGTTCAGAGGTGAAAATTATAGTCACACAGTTGCATCACTTTGGCTTAACAGAAGCAAGTAGAGAATAAATTGTGTAGAGTTGAACCGGATTACCAACGGGTCAAAATTGGGAAAAGAGAAAGTACAGACAGAGCGGGGGTGATGGCCTGGGAAAATAGTGAGAAATGGAGGGATCAGATGTGAAGAGTTGTAGAAATAGTAAAGCGTAGGAAAAAATGAATGACAAAAGTTCATGTTCAAATAAAATAAATTCAGAGTTCTTGAATATTTAAATGGAACATTCATAGGTGATGGCAAGATCAAGGGTATGACCATGCTTGTGTAGAGCTGAGGTAGAATAGAGGAGTAGGTCATGGAACTTGAATAGATTGGGGAATTGGGAGGTTAGCTTATTTGGGAGAACATCAACATGTATATTGCAGTCTCCTAGTATGAAGGCAGAAATTGGAGTAAAGAGGAAGACTGTGAAACAAGCACTGCATTCATGCAGAAAGAAAGAAGAATGACTTGAAGGTTGGTAGAGAACAGCCACTGGGGCCTGGATTCATTGAGAAATGTGGATAATGTGAACCTTAAAGGAAGAGAAATTTCTGATTGAGATGGTAGAGGGAGGATCTGGAAATGGTCGTAGGGAGCAAGGAGACTTCTGATCCCACCCCAGTAACGTTGGGGAATGTGAGGAAAAGTACAACTAGTGCTGGAATGGATGGCCTGTGGGTAGCCGGGTCTAAATGAGTGATAGAAGATGGAAGGAGCAAGAGAGGGAAGAAGTCTGAAATTGAAGGAAGTTTGCTGGCTCGGTGGATAGAGTGCAGGACCTGAAATCAGAACGACCTCAGTTCAAATCTGGCCTTAGACACTTAACAGCTGTGTGATCCTGGACAGTCAACTAACTTCTGTCTGCCTCAGTTTCCTCATCTGTAAAATGGGAATAATAACAGCACCTACCTCCTAGGATTGTTGATCAAATGAGATCCTATTTGCAAAGAACTTAAAGCACTATAAAGCAAGTTATTAGCACTATTATTATTTTTATTTATCACAGAGTTCCAGAGGGCATAGTGGAAGGGTTGGGCAGATCTGGAGTGTGATCTTGTGGGGAGACGTAGAGTTGAGGTAGATAGGAATGAAGGAGTAGAGATCTGGGGCAGTGGAGGGGAGAGCTTTTCTTGAGCAGTCAGGTCCCACATGGAGGAGAAGGTGGGGCTAGAAGTATGTGTACCATTGGGGAATGTCCATTGAGGAGGTGGGAGGTATGTCCCTAGGTGATTTGAAACCTTGATAAGCATATGCAGTTCTGTCCAAAACAGGATTAGCTGCTTTCCCCTCAAATCAACTGTTCTTCTGAATTTCACTATTTCTGTCAAGGGCATCACAGTCATTTCAGTCTCCCAGGTTCACCACCTCAGAATTATCCTTGGATCCTCGTTCTCTTTCCCCACATATCCATTTAACTGTCAAGTCTTATTTCTACCTCCCCAACATTCTTCCTATCTGATGCCATCATACACAATCAATACTCTACTTCACACCCTCATCACCTCTTTCCTGGACTATTGTAACAGACTCCTAATTGGTCTCCCTGCCTCAGATCACTCTCCTCTCCAGTCCATTCCCCCACACAGTTGCCAAAGTGATTTTCCTGAAGCCCTAGTCTGACCACATCAATCCCCTACTCAATAAATTGTAGCAGCTCCATATTATGTCTAGAATACAATCTAATATTCAGTAAATATTTATAAGGTACCTACTATTTGCTAGGCACTGTGTTAAGTTCTGGGGATAAAATTAATAATAATAATAATAATAAAAAAGATGGTCCCTGCTATCAAGGAGCTTACCATCTAATGGGAGGAGACCACACAAAAAAAGGAAGCAGGAAAGGTAGGGAAGAAGACGAAGGGCATCCTTGTGGGGCGTCTTATTCTGTGGAGTTGAAACTAGGATACAAAATAAAGTGCTCCGACATTTAAAGCCCTTCGCAACTTGGCCCAAACCTACTTTTACAGTCTTATTTTATATTACTCCCCTTCTTGTATGCTACGATCTAACCAAACTACTCTTCTTACTGTTCCCCATGCACATCTCCTGCCTCTATGCCTTTGTGTTTTGGTTGTGCCTCATACCTGGAGTGCAGTCCCTCCTCCCTTCTGCCTCTTTGAATCTCTTGTTTCCTTCAAGACTCAGCTCAAGCATTATATTGGGCATGAAGGCTTTTGTTTTTGTCCCCGAATTCCTAGTGTCCTTTCTTCCAAAATTACCTTGTATTTACTCTGTGAATGTTCCTTATAAGCTTTTTTATGTTGTGATGGGTGAAATCTGAAGAAACAGGCTTGAACTTCAAAGTATTTCTTTTTATTAAGCAATACGTGTCAATGGCATAACAAATCAGACCAGGTCTCCTCAGCTTGTCACTGGACCCCAAATACAGGGGGAGGCATATTTTTATGCATTAAAAGAAAACAATTACGGGCAGTTAGGTGGCACAGTGGATAAAGCTCTGGCCTTGGGGTCGGTAGGACCTGAGTTCAAATATGGCCTCAGACTCTTGACACTTACTAGCTGTGTGACCCTGGGCAAGTCACTTAATCCCAAATGCCTCACCAAAAAAAGCAAAAAATTAAAAATAAATCCCATGAAAAGAAAACAATTAATAGGATATGAGCCAGGATAAAATATTAGGTAATCTGATTTCTAATTGGAGGAAAGATTAGAAGCTTTCTGAGTTGGGAGAGAGAGAGAAAACAGGTGCAATTCCCTGAAATCAGAAAAAGAGGTGTCTCACTTTCCCCGTCAAGTGTATGTATTCAATAAAAGAAACAAGGAAACAGTAATCGATTGACCAGTAAGAGGCCAGTTTTCAAATAAAACATATGGGTTACTTGAGATGTGTAACTGTGAGAAAAACTCCTCACATAAATCTTCAGATCTGACTGCGTTTCTGGTCAGCATAACGTAGGTCCTTTGTTAAGGGTCTCTAAGCAACAGGTAAAGGTAATCCATCTTCCCAGCTACACAGGGTTAGGTTTAAACAGTGCAATAAGGTTTTCTCACAATTCCCATAACTGAATAAAGTTTTCTCACAAAACAGAAATTGAACTAGACCCATAATTGAAAAGAAAGGGAACTGAGCCAGGTGTAGAATTGAGTCACAAAATGCAGTAGGTGTGGTTCAATCAATTTCCATAATTCCCTCAATGTGCACGTTGTCTCCCCCATAGAATGTAAACTTCTTGGGGACAGGGACCATTTCACCCTTGTCTTTGTATCCCCAGCATCTAGCACAATGTCTAGTACATGGCTGTGCTTCACAAATATTTACTGAGTGATCTAAGGCTATGGACAGGATCAGGAGGGAAGAACACACCATGCTTTTTGGGGGGAAGTATTTAATTCTTATCTTTTCAGTGATGAAAAATTGATTTTTACTTCCTTCCAACCCTTCACCACCATTGGGGAAAACCCCAACAAAACCTTGTAACAAATAGGATTCAAACAAATTTCTATATTGACTATGTGAAAAATGATATGTTTCAATTTGTACCCTGAGTTTCTCTATTATCAGCATGCTTCATCATAAGTCCTCTGGAACCATGGTTGGTCAAAAGCTTTCAAAATTATTTGTTTGGGTGGAATGAATCAATAAATGAATAAAACATTTATTAAGCACTTACTATGTATAAAGAACTGTACTAAACACTGGGGATACACAGAGAAAGTAAGATGGTCCCTGTTGTCAAGGAACTTACCTTCTAGTGAAGGAGACGACACAAACAGAAAGTTTTAACTTCCAGTCAGATGGAAAAGTCCCATGGTTCATAGGGTGTGGTAGCAAAGCCAATGGTAATGCCTCTTCTTTAATGCCATTTTCACTGATAAAATCGTATCAGTTTCTGATGTTGAATTATTTGATAGTGCCAAAGACTTTAATAAAAAGAATTTTCTTTTCTGGGTCTTCTGTACTGTGCACAAGTAGATATCAGGCTACAGTCTCCACAGGGAATGATGGCTCAGATCAATGGCTTTCTGGGATGATGGCTGAGGTCAATGGGCTAGAAGCATGACTATTCCCAAGCCTAGGTTCAGGCTCCTGGGCTATCTCTAACAGGGTCTGAAGGGAGATGGTGTTCAAGATGGTGGTATTGTTTTGACTTGCCTGGTATATGCTGTATCTTGTATCTCCTTTATGGTGTTTTGCTAGTTCAGCAAAGTTGACTTTTCTGCCCTGAAACACTATTTTTACAATGTTTTGTTATTATATGAATTGTTTTCTTGATTCTGCTTACTTCACTCTGGATAGTTCATATGTCTGCCCAGGTTTCATTGAAACCATTCTTTCAATTATTTCTTACTCTGTGATAATATTCCATTGCATTTATATAAGCTAATGTGTTCAAACATTCCCCAATTGATGGATATTCCTTTAGTTCTCGGTTCTTTGCTATGAGAGAGAGAAAGAGAATAAACATTTCATACATATAGGTCCTTTTCTTCTTTCTTTGATCTGGGTGGGGATATAAGCCTAGTAGCTGTATTACTGGGTCAAAGGGCACACACAATTCAGTAACTTTTGGGGCAAAGTTCCAGAGTACTATGCTTGTTTTCAGTTGGCTCTTCCTCTTCCATCTCTGCTGGTTGAGGCAAGCCCTGCTTCCTTCTCAGAGCCCCAGGACCAGAGATAGGTGAGGACAAGCACTACTGTCTGGGATAGCCACGAGA